GGGGGGAAAGGGAAAAAATGAAGTGAATCATAAGGAATTTACAAGCAAATCAAATTGGCTAAAATTAAATTTATTAAAACATTTTCAATATTAGTTTTATATAATTGAGTATCCTACATGATTATATTTAAAATCCAAGTAATATATAAACAGTAAAATGAGCATATTATAAATCAGAAAGTAATATAATGAATGATAGTAATTTCTGTTGAAACAGATCACTGAAATTTGGAATATTATCACTTTATGCTAAAAGAATTGAAATTTTAGATGTAGTACACACTCATATATGGTATTATGATCCTTAAATGGTTTCCAAGTTGAAGTACATTCTGCGTCAGATTTACTTTAGAAATATGGAAGTTATTTTGGACATAGAGGTATACTCCTACAGCTTAATTAGCCATTATTCTAGGAAGGAATTCTGTGTACTTTTCTATCAGAAGTGTAAAGAGTCCTTGCAGCAATTAACATGTACAAAGCTGCTCCAGTGTACTTTGTGGGGATATAAACTTTGATATATTTAATTAAATTGGTTGGAAAGGAAACTAACCTTTTATAAATTGTTTCAATCCATTAGAGATTGTTTTTCAGTGTTGTTGAGTTTTGCAGCATTGCTACCAAAAATGGAAAAAATGATCCAACCTGATTATTACATTTCCAGTAATTCTTAGAAAATGAACTATATTGTCATTGGAAAATTTTGCCCAACACTATTGTGTACATTGCATTACAGAAACAGAAAAAAATGTTTTTAAATTTTTATAATAATGCTGCTTCTAATAGATATATTCTAGGCAGATAAAAGGACGTGCAACTTTAATGTTGCATATACATACATAACAAATATTTGTATTTTAGAAAGTGAATAATTTATAATATAAAACCACTATATTTTGTTTCACTGAATCTCAAACATAACTACATTTTAATTAGTCTTAAATATTGTTCAATCACAATTTATTTTCAATTAGGACAAAAGTCAATCTGCAGATTCAGCCAGTTTTTTTTACAACAATTGTATATCATGTAAAAATACAAGTAATGTAATATTTCCAGTAGTAATTCAGTAGAGTAGAGCATCTGATTTTGGTTTTGTTCAATTTCCTAAATGATTTGAAGCATGATTTTGAGGCACTAAACTGTATATGTAAAGTTAACAACATTTTGTCTAATCTATGTATAAATCATTTGATATTTTTTTAGAAATTAAATTGTGGATTTCATATTTATTTTCTGTTAAATCTACCCTTTTGTATTAGATACTACAATGATTATTATATAACAAAAAAGCCAAAGTATTTTTTTAAAAAGAATGATTAAATGTTTTTTACAAAGGTATTCCTCCTAGCACATTGTACTATTTTAATATGTAGCAGGCTTCATATTTCACTTGTGAGAAGATTTTACACTGAATTATCCATATGGTAACATGGTAACCTATTATTTGAACATAGCCCTTCAATTTCTTCTCCTTGGTTATCTATAGATGTTCGTACAGTGTCATTATTAACAAGATTTTGATGAATAGTTTCTGAATAATTCCATGGAAACTTCTTGGATCCTCCAGTCCTGGGAACAAAATTGCTAAATTAAATTTGACTATCTTTAAAGTATTGTCAGGTCATATGAGGAACAATAATAACCGATAATCAAATTTCATGTAATTTATTGGCTCAAATCACAGTGAACTTTATAACAGTAAGGATTTCAACTGCATGTTTCAGTGCTAAATAAGTTTGTAATAACAATGTCTCTGTAATGTTTAGTCCCAGTAATATTTCTTTGGTCAATGCCCAGCAATACAATATTTATCTGTATGGAACTATTGCTTCATTTTCTGAGAGGTTGTCTATGTAAAATAGGTTATAAGATCAATGTATTCTGTAAATTATAAAACACTACATCAAAGATGTATAAATTAAAAGTACATATGCAGACATTCTTCCCACAAAAAATGATGTAAAAACTAATTTGTAGAAGTTTTGTAAAACATTGTAATCTTTAAAATAAAACAGCACTAAATTTGGCAGATTAGATCCAAATTTATTTCAATTTACTTTAGTTAAAACTAATCTTCTAACTAAAGTAAACTGACATGAATAAATTTGGATCTAACCTGCCAATTTTGTAGAAGGGAGTGAGGAAGTTTATAGGAATTTGATAGGTCTGCAGTATTCAATAGATACCATTCAATATCTTTTCTTGAGGTTCAAACAAATTTCTTTGGTTATTGGGCACATTTCCAATACTAAATGCATGTGATAAATATACAAATTGCTTGGGTTTATTTATTTGTATCTTGAAATACTCTTAAGCATCACAAGGACTTTACCATCGTTAAGAAGTGCTGAAAAAGTATTTTCAGAAAAACTGATTTGAAAATAATTAGGAACTCTCCTAACTATGTTTAATTTACTGTTATATTTTAAATCCAGTGGTGGGATTCAAATATGTGAACAACCGGATTTCTGTGCGGATGTGCTTCTGGAAGTCCATTCTGGGCTTTGGCAACAAAAGATTAGCTACCGGTTCTGCCAAACTGGTGCAAACTGGCTGAATCCCACCACTGTTTAAATCCAGTGGTTTATTAAATTATATGTAAGTTGGGGAGACATGATAGCAGTATTTCAGTATTTGAGGGGCTGCTACCAAAAAGAGGGGGTCATACTATTCACCAAAGCTCCAGAGGGCAGGACAACAAACAATGGTTGGAAACTGATCAAAGAGAAGCAACCTGGATGGAATTAAGGAGAAATTTCCTGACAGTAAGGACAATTAACCAGTGGAACAGCTTGCCTCCAGAAATCACTGGAGATTTTTAAGAAGAGGCTAGACAGTCATTTGTCTGAGATGGTATAGGTCGTCCTGCTTGAACGGGGCTGGACTAGGAGCACGTCCAAAGTCCCTTCCAGCTTCTATTTTCAGTATACCAATTTTTCTAGAGCTGTACAAACTTTATAACTACAAAACCATTTGTAGAATAAAAGATATTTCACTCACTTCATGGATGTTCTACCAGATCGAGACATGTAGAACAAAATGAAGAAGAGAAATGCCACAAAAGAAACAAGTCCAATCCAAAAGCCTATGACAATTGAATCTGTTGAAAAATAAATTAGAACTCTTCAAATAAATATAAATATCAGCATATTTATATACATATAATATACATGGCCTTTATTGTTTAATTATTCAAGAGGTTGTCTTCAGTGCTATATTTAAAATGTATGCAACATTTCCACTACAAATGGAAGCTATCATCCTCAGTTTGGCTGAGACTTACTGAGATCAATACGTATTAAGGTACAGTAGTAGTGAAAGTTAAATGTTGATTTTGACAGTCTTAAACATAACTAAAGTTGCAGGTGTGTGCCTAGTTACTTTCAAGAGATATTTTTCTAGTTCAACCCATTAAAATTAAATACATTTTTGTTTAAATAAAACATGCTTAGGATCTATTTCCTTTGTATTCCAGGTGTAACACTGCCATCAAAAACCTGCCCCTATGAAGGCAGGGAAGATTACACGTATCTCCACCCCTAGAATTCAAGGTTTCCCTGAGCTAGATTTCTCCTACCCTAAGATATTTATAACTGAATGACTTACCCTTTCATTTAAGGGGGGATAAAATATTTATTCCTACATAGTGGAAAGAACAGCAGTACTTACATCTGTTGGCTTTCAAATTACTTGCATCAACTGGAGGTAGATCAAAGTAATCCAGGTAATATTCATAGGGCACAGTATAATTTGTTGCATTAGTCATTTCAGTAATACAACCAAGGTAGCTTGGTACTCTAATAGATCCAGCACAAAACTACAGTGTTTCCATAATGACACGCTGTAATTGTGTGAATAATTTCTGATTTGACATCCTTAATTACCTTGACATAGCAGAACTATTCAGGCTGACCTTCATTTCTGCTGTAACAGCTGCCAAATGCTAAAATGACACTGAATGTCTCTTGTATGAGCCATGGCCCCCTCTGTTATTGTTTGTTTGTGCTAGAATCTAATGCCAACGGTACAAAATATTTTAAATTCAGATTGTTAAACAACTGTTTAAATTCATTTTAGAATATCAGATGCTGCTTGTCAAGTCTCTTGATAGAAATTTGACAAGAGTTACATAATAGATTTAATTAAAAACTTCATTTTGGGGTAGGGTTTGGGTGATTCAGCTATCTGAATCCCAAGAAGTATAAACGTTTGAGAGGCCCAGCAGGGTCCCCACGACTACCTGTAACACACGTTTAGGCTTTATCACAAATTTCTTTTGTTTTTTTATACATTTACGCGGTTTTTTTTAAAAAATAGTACAGTAGTGCATTAGAGAATAGTACAATCTAAATGCAAGCCACGATTCAGAACTAAATGAAACTGGCGTCCATATTTCTCGTTCTTCAGGCGAAACGCGCTCGCAAACCATCAAGCTCAGCTCTAAGCTGTTCGCGTTCAAACAGCTTCCACCGCGAATCCATCAACGCAGGCCTTTGCAGGTGGCGGGAGAGCGTGAGTTAGTGCGCATGCGCACAAATTCTCCCTCCTTTCTCCTGCCCCGCGACTGCTTCTGCCTCCTCTCCTTGGGAAAGAAAACGAAACAACCTTGTAGAGAGGGGCCGCCCATTATTTCCGGTACTGAGGCAAGAGAGGAGGCGGAGTTCGGCGCGGGTGGCTTGGAAAAAAAATGGCGGCGTTTCCATTTGAAGAAAGCTCTCTGCCGATGGAAACATTTTCTGACAAACTAGGGCCCGATAACCAGGAAGGGCCGGGTGCAGAGGACCTGCCTATGGTGTTCCTCTGCGCCGGATGCAAACGGCCTGTAGGAGACACGCTCAGCTGGGAGACTAACGACGAGGACACCAATTGCATCCTGCTTAAGAGTCAGTGGGGGGGGGGGGAAACGCGCGCGGCTACCTAGCAACGCTGCGCGCGGTTGGTCGAAATTCTTTTCCCACGCGTGCGCGAGCACTCCGTTCCATTCCTCGAGGCGCGTACGGCCTGCTTGTGGTTTAGGCAGTGGCCAAAGACTTTCTGTCATTCATGTCTTTCTCTGGTTGCGGTTCTCTGTTAACAAGTAACGTAGTACAGGTAGTCGTCGACTTACAACAGTTCATTGAGTGACCGTTCTCAAAAAAAGTGACTTACGTCCATTATCACCTTTACAACCTTTGTAGCCTCCCCATGATCCGTGTGATCAAAATTCAGATGCTTCGCAACTGGTTCGTACTTACGGTTGCTGTTTCCGAAGGTCACGTGGTTGCCTTTTGCAACCTTTGGACAAGCAAAATCAAGGGGGAAGCCAGATTTCCTTAACAGCCATGTTACCAACTTATCAACTGCAGTGATAAGTTGGCAAGATAACTGGCAAGAAAGGGCGTAAAATGGGGCGAAATTCACTTAGCAAATGTCTCACTTAACAACCAGTTGTGAGCTCAATTGTGGTTGTAAGTTGAGGACTACCTGTAGTCGGCAACAGTCTCTTCTAGGCTAAACTTTTCTCCCATTCTCAGATTATTTAGATTTCTTTTTTTCTAAGAACTCAATAATGTTTGTTGATTGTTGAACTTCAGTTGCGGAATCCCAAACCCAAGTTAAGTTGCAGTTTGAATTTGTGATCTGCAACAAATTTCATGTTCAACAAAGCTGGTTTATCTGTTGCTTAGGTTGCATATGCTGTTTCACTGCATTGTATTGTTTTTTTTTAACTCACTTTTAGTTTTCTATGTTACATATTCATTTGAATGGCGGTTTTTATGCCCCCCCCCTTGGAATGGAATATAAATGCTTTAATTGTTAAACCAAAAGCTTTGTTATCTTTCTTGGCCCGAAGACTATCATACAATCTTGACATTGCTTTCTGTATTCTTTGGTTTGTTAAAGTGGCCTGCCTTTTTAAGAGAACATTTTGTTTCTGCTGCTTTGATGTGTACCTTTCACATTTCAGGTGTTACACTCAATGTCTCAGTACACAAAGAGCAAAAACTTTCAAGCCAGGCAGGTGAAACTGGCTGGTAAGTTATGATTAGAACTTCAGAATGAAAGTTATAATTGACCTATAGCAGAACTTCACGTTGGTGTAGCTGATTATTTTTGATCAAAGTGGGGTTTTTTTGTTTGACATGCCCATGTAGTTTAATAGTAACCATATTTAGATGCCCTACTGTTTAATTTATCTGAATCCAGCAAACTAATAGTAATATTTGTGTTAGACCAATTCATTATCACAACATAGTACATTTTTTTCATTTTTTTGAAATCAAGAGGCAAGAGGAAGGAAAATGGGAGATCAAACCCTGAATGTGAGGATAAAATCTGTAAGAGATTATGTCTGTTTCTCCAGGAACTTTCAGTATTATTTGCTTCATTTGCAGGAAATCTAAATTAGAGCATATTATTAAAAATCTGATGTTTTGCTTTACAGTATTCTTGAAACCTTGTTTTGCTCTGGCTGCAACCTGAACCTTGGAAACATTTATAGATGTACCCCAAGACATCTTGACTATAAACGAGATTTGTTTTGCTTAAACATAGACTCTCTAGAAAGGTAAGTGAACTTACAATGGAACTTGCTAATCACATTTTCCTTATAATCTCTTAAGTCAGTGGTTCTCAACCTGTGGGTCGGGACCCCATTTGGGGTCGAACGACCATTTCACAGGAGTCGCCAAACAACGCAGTCCGCCATTTCCCCCCCCCCTTTCCTTAGCTGTGCTACTCCCTTTTATTCTATTGGCTTTTGAAAGCCAATAGAATAGACTCTCTTGAATAGAGTCTAATTCTATTGGCTTTCAAAAGCCAATAGGAATTGTCCAGGCTGTCTCTGCCCTGCTGAGCCCGCCAAAAGTCCCATTCTGCAAACGGTGCTGCACCAGTTGAGTAGTCCTCGACTTACGGCCGGTTGAGTAGTCCTCGACTTACGACCGGTTGGGGGTCGTGGCATTAAAAAGGTTGAGAACCACTGTCTTAAGTAGAATTGGTTACTTCAGAGATTTAACTTCTTCAATTACAGATTTTTATTTTGCTGCAAAGGCAAATGGAATGTTTCAAGTCTAATGGAATAATATTTATTACCTATTGCTTTAAATTTATGAAGCATCATTTTTTGTGCTACTGTTTTGTGGAAGAAGAAAAATACATCAGAAATGGCAGCCCTCGTTTTTGTTTGATTTCAAGCACTGAGATTCTTTCATTTCTTCTTTCTCCCTCAAATATTATATCCATCTCTTTATGAAAAAATAAGTCTATATAAGTTCCAGAGATAAGGAGTTATAATCACATATCTATAGTAGTACTTTAACACTGTTGACATTGTGTATATATTGTTTACTTAGAATTTTGGTGTTTGCATAATTCTAATCACAATGGTTTTTCTTTTTTAAAATTTTTGGTTCTAAATCTCAATGTGGGAATAAAATAGAGCCATCTGTAAATGAAAAAAAATAATAATTTAATAGCACATTTTTCAATTAACTAATGTCATTAAAACACAGCTCACAGAATCTTATGCCTTTTAATAAAAATGTAATAAATGTTAATCAAAATATGTTGGAAAGATGCTACTACATTCTTTGTGATTTTTTGCTACCATAGATTAACACAGCTGTCCTGCAAATCTCCATACTTGGGTGGGAATCAGTCCTCTTTATTTTCAGAAACACTTGACCAATAAAAATCAAATATTCTTAGTGAACAAGTGAAAACAGAAAGTTACAAGGGTCTTCTGGACATTCTTTTTAAAATGACATTGAATTGGTTGATCATTTACTTAGGTTTTGAATTCATAAGACTCATTAGTAATATTAGTGTTAATCATTACTACTACAGAAAAATGAGAATTGTTTTCTTTTCCTTAATCACTGCCATTGACGGATTCTATTGCAGTAAGTTCTATAGTTATGATTGTTCCCATAAATGATTGTTATGCTACTTATAACTATAAATGTCTAAGTTATACCTTAGGGTCATCAGAACAAAAAGCTGACATTGATGAGGAACCTCTCACACTTGAAAGTCGAGCTAATTTAGAAGAATCATTAGGAAGGGTAAGATAATTATTCTGTATTTATATTTTGCCTTTCATCCTTATTTATTTAGATGTATTATGATGGATTCTTAAAATCTTTTATTCATACATAAGTAAAATTCTGCCAATAGCAGCTAAGGGAAAATTTGGGTGGAAAAGAAATACATTTCTTTATTCTTTCCTTTGTACTTTTGTATGAAAATATAATTGTTTTTCTGATTAAACATATATTAGCACTAGTTTTATATGTTCATGCAACTGCTTAAGCTTTTTGCACAATGCTGATTTGAGATCAATGTATCATGCAATTCCAAATCCCTATTATATCAGTTATAAGATAGGGGAATGAAAGGTAGTATCCGCTCTGACTGTCCTCAGATTGTACTGATGAAGTAGGAGAAAAATGGTATATTAAATTGATTTTTTAAAAATTGTATTTAACAGGCAGAAACAATACTGAAAGCACTAGAACAACGGTTATCTGCAGTGGAATCAAGTTTTGCAATGCTTCACAATATTGGCTGAAAAATATGACTATTGCTGTAAAATTGTTGGATTACTGCAAGAGTCTAGTCACAAATTATAAAACTCTACTCAGTCTTCTAATTAAGACTACAGACACTTGAGAAACAAAAACAAAATCTCTAAAGTTGAATAAATTTCTAGGAAATCTTGTAAATATGCCCACGTTGGTCCTTTTACAATATTTTTAATCTCAAACATTCTAAATAATTGAAATTCCAATAATCTTGTCTGTGTTTTTGTCCTTTCTGTTTTGTATACTGCATACAGTTTCTTACTTTGATTGGCAGCTTAGATTGGAATGTACATCATCCACTTTTTGTGGAAAAGATGATTGCTTTGGATACCTTATGGTTTTCAGAGCATTACAGTTGAATCTTTTATGTATTGTAGCAGCCATGTAATTGTCTACTAGTTTAAGATATTGATATATTATGTGTAATATACTGGCAGAGGCTATATCCATACATATTTCTTAGCTTGTATTGTTCCAATGTTTTTTTTTTACTGTACTTTGAAATATTCAAGAATAAAAAACTCTTCCAGAAAATACAAACTAACATGGCAAGAAATTCTTAACTAAAAAGAAAACCTAGAAATAAATTGACTGTACTAGATACTTTACAAAATAAAGTGGCAAAAGTTACATAATTTAAAGGTTTGCCATTGTATTTTAGAAGAATTGTTTTTTAAATATCAGGAATGTTCTTTAAAAATCAAAATACTTGAATGCAATGATGTAAATGTTTCAGTAAAAATAAAAAATATATAGTTGAACTGGAATTTAAAATTCAGTTAAGTTTTATTGTAAGTCTTTGTGCTTATTTATTACTTTATTCTGTAATGAAGAATAGAATAGAAGCTACATGTAATTTGCCACACTGAAATGCCTTTTATGTTCCAAATAAATCTAGGTGGGATTAGTCATCACAGATTTCTCATTATGTTGTAGCACATTTTGTTCATCTAAATAGAACACATCATGCTGGTTTGTCTTTATTTTTTTCTTCTTTAGAAATGGAAAAAACAGCTACTATTCATCAAGCTATAATTTGATACATAACGTATGTACATATGCTTGTATATTATGTATGGATAGAATGGGGTATGTTGAATAAAACAAAATCTGTATTGACATGATGTTTTACACCGCTTTGCTGCTTCAATACAAAGAAATGGCTAACCATTGCCAATTAGGTTAGAATATCATACAGTAATAACTAACCATTTAATACTTCAAGAACAGGTAAATTTACATAAATTCTATTTCCAAAATCTATAGAAAAGCTAAGATTTAATTGCTCTTTGAAATATTGGCAGAGATGCAGCTCTTTGTACAAGCATTTTCTTTCAGATCTGAATCAGTTACAAAAATGCATTATGCTGGTGTCTTCATTTAGAAACATGAAATTTATAACTAGACTAACATTCCCGATCTTTTTTGTTATTAGAGACTAACAGCGTCTCTGGGAATAATGCAAAGAGATATCCTATAAAACCAATTACTCTTTGTTTAAAGGCAGCAAAAGCTTGGTACCTTATAAGCCTGTTACTAGCAGGAGTTTGAAATTTTAAGCATGCTTCCCATTGTTACTCTTCTACCTGTTAAATTAGAAGTGCAGTCTTACTGTTCCATTGGAATGATCCTGATTGCACTGAGTAAGTTCTAATAATTAGCATGTACTGAATCATAAATCTAATGATTGGAATATATCAGTTCAGCTTAAAAATAGATAATAGAGACACATACATTTTTAAATATGTTAATATAAATTCCAAGGTGTGTGTGGGCAGAAATTGTCAAGGGTAACCATGCATGAATTTTAATTGTTTTCATGGATTAATAGTGTAGACTTTTAAAGGGTGGTTCGTGTTAATTTTTGTTCCCCCTTTTCATCCCAGAGATTAACTGTAAATCTGTGCCAAATGTTAGGATATACTTGCACTGACTGTTGAAAGCTTTTTAAAATTTACACAGGAGTGATAATATTTTTGTTTTTTATCCCTAATGTGAGATAATAACAGCCATGTTAGTTTTGAAAGATCGTAAATGGTTTGCTATTTGTTCCCACCATAAACAGCAATCATTGTAAAAGGTTTCTTAGGAAGACATAAGAGTGCATTCAGATGTCCTGCACAGATAAATAACAAAATAGCTGCAGCATTTGTTCTGATATAATTGGATTGACATTTTATTAGGAAGTCCATTTTGCTGCATGCTTTTCTTAATATCCAAACAGAATAGCATGCTCAAACTTTGGTCTCTTTAAAGTTACTAGTTTTTAACTAAGAACTAGATCTTTCCTCAAGGTCATCTCTCTGAAGCTATCCCAGCCGAAAGAGGGGAAAGGCAAGGCGGTATACTGTCCCCCTTTTCAATTTCTACATTAATCCAATAATACAGCTGCTCATGGTCCCTGCTCATCATCTTCCTGTTTTGATAGAACTAGTGATTTTTGGCACTTTTATATGCAGATTATATGATTCCCATGTATGTTTCTCAGGTAGGAATGAGAAGGGCACTAGTTTTTTCTGCCTAGAAGATTATTAATGAACAAAAAACAAAGAGTTCTAGCATTTGCTTGACACCACCATAAAATGGCACAAATGACAATTAATGGGATTCCAATTGAGCACCACTAGCTTGGAGTGCTGTTGCACAGCAATCTATCTTGGAATACACATCTTTTCTACTAGGCTAATGGTGTTAAGGCTAGCTCCAGAGCTATTCAATGTTTTTAGCTGTCTTTATTTTTATCCTTATTTTGTATGCTGCCCAGTGCCCACTGGAGTTGGATGACCAATATAAGGTATTAGTGGCCAAGACTATGCTTCAGCTTCTGTACCATACTTAGGCATTAAAAATACCAGATCCGCTCAGTGCTTCAGGCCTTCCCTCTGTTTGCAAAGCTTTTTCCTGCAGTTCTCGTCCAGGCCTCCCTTTGCAGAGAACAGAGGCCTAAAGTACCATGAGATCAGGCAAGATCGGTAGCAATAGGCAGGGCAAATTTTGCAGAGTCTCTGCGGTCATTTGTAAGTGCGAATGACTGCTGTGGTGCTGCAACATTCGTAATTTTGGGACTTGGGGGGGTTAAGTCATAACTTCAAACGGTCACTAAATGAACTATCGTAACGTGGATTACCTATACTTCTAATTAAACACTAGTTAGAGAAAAACTGATTAAAAAGAAAAATAGAATTAGACAAAGAATGAGATGAAAACAAGACTGTAAGAGAACTATTCCTAAAACTACTAATATTTAGCTATCACAAAATATCATACAAAAATCAAGGAAATATATACTAAGGAGATGTCCAGTCATTACTTGGTTCAAAGGTATAGCTAATGTGAATTTGCAATAGGAAATGTTGGTTCAGGAGCAGAATAATACCTTACATTGAATACTACAGGATGACTGGCCAATATCAAGGCAGATCTAGGGAGAGAGGGGAACTGTACTGGATGCAGGTATCCTGTTAGATGCTTTGCTACCCAATCTTGTGTTCAAAGGAAGCTCTATACACTAAAGATTTTATTCCTAAATATGGATGCATAAGATTTCAATGTAGACTTCATTTCAGCGATGCTATCTCAAAACTAACCAATAAGCTACAGTAATAATACACAAATGTAATGCCTGAAAGCAATATTGTTTCTACAAATTTAGGTTCCCCTACATGAATTATAGTATGAAATGAACTTTACCATCCCCATATGGTAAAGAACACATTGGCTGTCAAATCCAATTTATGGATTTTCAGAATGTAGTTAGCCCGTATGTACTGTATGTATTATTTTTTAGTCAGTATTGTCCATGTCCTTAAAATGTCTTCAAGGTACATGCTAATGGGATTATGGCCCAAATATGGTAACATAATTAAAGTCTCTCTCTGTACACATAGATTTATGCAGGATATAATTCTAACATATCTAAAGACACCCAGGCTGGAGAAGACTTCTCCATGTCTGAGCTTCTAGAAACAAAAATATTGAGAGAATAGAATAGAATAGAATAGAATAGAATAGAATAGAATAGAATCTGGAAGGGACCTTGAAAATCTTCTAGTCCAGCCCCCTGCTCAAGCAGGAGAACCTATACCATCTCAGACAAGTGACTGTCTGGCCTCTTTTTAAACATCTCCAGTGATGGAGCACCCACGATTTCTGGGGGCAAGCTATTCCACTGGTTAATTGTCTTCATTGTCAGGAGGACATATAGATTCATATTCTGGAACAGGAAAGAAGGTAATGATTTTAGTGTGACTGATTAGGCACATATTAGATTTATCTTCCTTGATATGGTCACTAAAACAGCAATTTCATATTTGTCTATTGTGTATTCTATTCTACCACAAGATGGCATGTTTGCCCTCTAGCTGTTCTTTTTGGCCTTTTAATTTTGTTATTGCTTCATTATTTCAGGTCTGATACATGGTCCATTAATTTATCATTAGTTCCTCAAATTTACAAATCAAAATAGGAAGCATTAGGTCTTTCTAACAACCCATTACTTAACTGGAAATGTTGTGCGAGTCATTTCTGTTCAATTCAGTTGTATTCATTTTTTTTTCATTCAATAAAAATGGGTTTTTACTAGTCAATTTATTTTCTATATTCCCCTTTTTAGATTTTAATGGTATTATGCCAGTTTATTTGGGGAAGAATGCTGGTTAATATATTGCTGGTTACTAAAGACACTTAGTGCAAACACTACTAACCAAGATTGTGGGCTAGTTCTTAAAAACAGCAGCTGAAGCAGTAAATCTGCACATTCTCAACTTCAGTTTACAACTGGAAGATCATGTTGATTCTTACAAGAAATCCACCCTCATGTGACACATGTCTGACTTGAAAGCCCCTATATTAAAATGATCAGAAATTGTACAGCTTGATAAAGTATTCCATTTAGCTTAACCAAGTCCATCAAACTGCCGGTCCATGGGCTGAATGTGTCATGCCAAAACTGTGCCCACCCCATTGCTGGCAATTGAAAAAAAGTTGCAATATGGCGTAACACGTCACCTGACGTTGCGAGTTTGACACCCTTGATCTAATGCAAACTAGTGCTCTGTAGATATGTTGAATTCCTGACCAGCAAAGCTGCTGACAAAGTGGGCTGCAACTATCACTCAGTGCCTCCAGATGATACCAAGTTACAAAATATAACCCTAATGTAATATTCATTCATTCATTCATTCATTCATTCATCTTTATTAAATTTGTTGCCCACCCATCTTACTACAAGATAACTAATGTTACAGAAGAAGTATATATTTGCCTTAGAAAAATATTCTCAGTTTGTATCTTATGTAAAAATAACTGAATAAATTTTTGAAGCTTTGTATCTACTTCTGCTTACCACTCCCAACGTAGAGAGCAATGTAACAAGTTGATTATAACCATTGTTCTTATGACCTCTATCTTCAGTTCAGATGCAAAACTACTTATAAGTGTGAATAATATATATGTATTTATGGCTGTAGATTACAGTAATCCTCCCAAACTAACCATTCTTTTCAATATCTATTTTTTATTTTGAAATTTTGTAAACTTTCCATAGGTTCTAAATCAAAGTGTAAATAACTTTTCTGCAAGCAGAAATTAACCACACACATTTGTTAAAATGTATGTTTAAAACAATTATATCTTGTATTATGTCACTTTTTAAAGATGCTACATTATAAAGAGGAGTGGTAGCAAGCCCTGGCATATATAGACAATTTTGGACTTCTGCCTCGGCACATTCCTTTTAATAATAAAGATGCTACATTTGATGGCGTTGGTATACATTTTAAAAGTATCCTGCTGAATTCTAATTAGTTTCACTATTCAACTGTTCTTTATCTATCCAGATAATGGCTGGGTACCCCAAATGACTGCTAAAGTAAGAACTTCAGTCAACATTCCAGACAAATCATTGTGATCTTGACTTCAAAGTTAGGAAAGAAACCAATCTTCTTTCAAAAGACTTAGATATAGGCCACATTTATTTCAGAACCACCAGATGCTCTGATTGAGAAAAAAAATGACCCATTATTTCTAAGAGCAAACCTCTGTTATCAGTTATTGGATAATCCAATGTGTTGCAAGCTTTCCAGCTTAATCTATCACAGAATGAATTTTCCAGTTTTTTAAAAACAAGAAAAGTTACAATTTAATTTTGTCCTGTTAAATGAGAGTTAGCTTTCATATATGTATCTGCCTAGTGGTTAGTAGCTCAGAAAACTGTTTTCTGGTGCCCAGTAAAAGAAACATATTTACTTTGTTTTCAGAAGCTTATGAAAAGTGGCATTATACTTTTTTATTGTTCAAAGGTGGAATCTAGATTCAAAAACAAAATATAGGATTCAGCCTTCCATCCTTCCAAGGTCGGTAAAATGAGGACCCAGATTGTTGGGGCCAATATGCTGACTCAGTAAACCACTTAAAGAGGGCTGTAGAGCACTGTGAAGTGATATATAAGTCTAAGTGCTATTGCTAGTAGTAGTGAACAGTGATAGAAAGGAATTCCTGACCTAAATATTTCAAATCTATTGTTTATAGAAACAATTGAAAAGCTTAGGTGAAGGAATAAATAAATTATTAATACCAAATACAAATCAAATAGATATAAGGAACGTGGGTGTCAATTTAAATTTAAATGTGATAATTTAGGAAAGATCCTGGCAAAGAGGAAGATTTGGTTCGTAAATAGAATATTCAGAATAGCAAATTATAAAAGAAAACCTACAGGGGTAGGCTCAAACTACATAACATAAGAGATATCCAACTCCTGAGAGTACTGTACATTACTAATTGAAAGAGGAGGCTTTGACCTTTTTTTTTCCTTACATCATTTCTCCAACGCAAACTTCCAAAGTTACATTTGCTCTGCTTTAAAAACACATGTAAGAATCAAAATAATGTCCTATCATAAATCTCTCAACTGTCTTTTACCCTGTGGAGATGCAGTTCTGTCTCTTTTGAGCATGGGAACCCTTCACTCTGGTGTATTTTATAATCATAACCATCTCTGAAGGCATTATCTCTCTCATTAGACTGTATTTAAGTGTCCTGATCAATATGGTAACATTTGCCCTGTGATTTACTATAATTTTTTCTACTGTGTGATTTGGGTTATTACTTGAGTAATCTAAAGTTATTTCTGAATCGGTTTCCATCACAGACTCCTCCTCTTGAAGCCTGCTGGATGGTATCCAGGTTGATCTGTGTTGAGCTGATAAAGACCATCCATTGCTTGGTCTGGTTTTTTTTTTTTTTTTTTAGTAAGGGCTGCCTCTATCTCTATGCATTATCTATGCATACAATTGGAATTCTTATGCAATTTTTTAAAAAATTATAAATGTGAAGTTCTTTGGGAAGATATATTCTTCCAAAATTGTTACAAAGCATGGTCAGCCATCAATATAGTATATCATTTGCACTTCTTTCTACAAATTTTATATTTTTCCCAAAGAAATATGACTAGTGAAGCAATAATAGCCTATCTGTTATTTCCCCCCCACAATAGGTAATAATTCCATGTTTAAACCAACATCCTACAGAAATCCCTTCTAAGAATAACTCACTTTTATTTCCTTCTCAGATGCACATTTCTGTGGGTTTGCAGCTTAATGTATGCTAGCCCATTCAATAAAGAGTGTTTTGTTTCCTGCAAAGTGGAGAGAACCTTCTTCTCCATCCTGACTTTAAAGGTCCATATATATAAACTGAAGCAGCTGGGTGAATCAATACGCTAAATAAACAGTACTCATATGGAAAAACTTAGAAATCCCTGCCAAGCCGAGAGAGATGAAGGAATATGCATTTGGTGATGATTGTTAAACCAAATGATTTGTGGAGGGCTGGGCTGATGAAAGGTCAGTTTGTTGAGTTTGGATAGTGACTCCTGTTTTCTCATAGTGTCAAAATGCTGAAAATAAAGTATGCTTTTATTTGTTTGTATCTCATATCACAGGACACACCTCCCAGTTTTTACTTACATATTTGATACAACAATGAAACTTTGCTAATCTTAGTCCCCATTAGAAATGAAAGAATATGACCATTGTGGCTTTTCTGTTTTTCACGAATCTATCAAATTGGGGAGGGGAGGGAGGTTTCCTTCCGTTTCTCTTTTTTGAGAAGTCTGCTTAATGAGAATGTTTAGTCAGTTGTGTATAGTTTGAAGCACAGTTCTCTAAAAATGAGTTTTGGGTGAAGTTTGTCTAATATACATGATTTTTGCAAATATTTCTCTTATATAGTGCTTCTTTTGTGTGATGTCATTTTTGACCAGGATGATCACTTTGCAAACTGAGATCATTTTTAATGTGTATGATTGTATATAGAAAAACATATTTTTATGTTAGGCAAGTAGGACAATGTGAATGTATATTTTTATTCTTATCCTAATTAACAATGTATAAATGTCTCTCTCTATAAATTGGAATGAAAGCATATAAATCAGGATGAAAGCTACATAGAACTGGAATATATTTTATAGAAGTATGGATGTCTGTGTCTTGGCAAGTTGGGAGACCTTAACAAATCTTGCCTTAGCTCTTAACTACAGAGGGTCAAGACCTGATTAGAACTTGATGGGAATCTTCAGCAAATGTCAATGCTGTAGGATAAACTGGGATTTTAGAAGAAGAAGAAGAAGAAGAAGAAGAAGGAGAAGGAGAAGGAGAAGGAGAAGGAGAAGAAGAAGAAGAAGAAGAAGAAGAAGAAGAAGAAGAAGAAGAAGAAAGCAATGGCAATCATTTCTATACTTTTGCTAAGAGAGCTACATCCGTCTTTCCATGAGGTTTTCATGAGTTGAAATAGAATAGAAATGAATAGAAAGAAATTCTATTTTATGAGTACCGTATCTGTAAATATAAGTAGTATAAGTAGCCTTGCTGCAAAGAAAACAAAATTCCAGTTTTCATCTTTGTATCTGCTACTGTGAATGGACAACTGTATAGATTTCAGTGAACATTTTTGTAAGAGATGAAAATTCAGATGCTTGGAATTCGCAAGTATCTCAATGCTCCAATTGATTAAAAGTGGCTTGGTAATTGATAATATGACTTGCATGCTATTTAGAGAGTATGTGAGCAATATAATGCTGTAAAATGTTTTGGTATAAGATTATTTAAGGACATTCCCGTGCTATTTTCTGTATCTCATTCATGCCATATATTGTGCAAAACTGAGCAACTGACCTGAGCTAAGATGAGAATTTGACAGGTGGTAAATTCCTCTTAATAAAAGGCTTGCAAACCATTCTATGAATTTTAGTGATCCCATTTCTCCCATTCTAAGTCATTGCTGGTGGTTGGTATGAATATCATGCATAGCTAACAATATGCTTCCTCTTATTAATAGTATGGCATTAAATTGTTCCATGCAGCTGTTATTAGATAAAATTAAAATCTCTTTCTAAACAAATGATGCATTACAAGAAACATTGCAATGCTATGCAGTAACATTATGCATTTTTTTTCACATTTTCTGTTCTGTAGCTTAGTTAAAAACGATACAATTCTAAGAATAAAAAAGCATCAGGAAACACACATGAAAGACAGCACATACTAAAGCAGGGGGCTATGAAGAGACCTAAGATGTCACATGTGTAATGAGAGCCAAGTTAGCAGAATATATTATGGGGGGGGGGAATTATATGAAACCAAAATGTTATAAAAGCAGTTACTTGAAAGGAAATGTTACCTAAAAGGAAATGTTCCCCATATTCACCCTCTGACATCCTGGGTATTAGCCTACTCACGTCTATTAATACAATTTCAGACGGTCATATCATGTATTGGCTAAGTATAATCTGCTTTTGACTATCCTATAGCAAACAAGGCACACAAAAGTAATTGGCCTTTGGCAGTCAGAGAATGTAATAGTTTTATTCCGAAATCACAGTTGCGATTTATGAGAATGGCTATATGTAGGTTGCAGCCTTCTGAATGTTCCCCATCCCTTGTTTTTTTCTTCAGATGCGTGACTCATATTTCAGGTTTGGGGGGGGGGTTGAATAAAACACAGCTCTGCAAGAACAAACATGTTAGTCTTAGGAGAGAGAGAGAGAGAGAGAAAGAGAGAGGTGGCTTGCTCTGTCCTCTTTCATTTGTAAGGAAAATGAAAAGAGGATTGAAATGGCAGATTTTGAGAGTCATTTTTGTAATGGGGAAAATGCATCACTGTTTACTGTGCACCCTGGGCTGCAGTTTAACTAAGCTGTTTTGCTAGTAGACAAAAGTTTAATAAGATTGCCATTTTTAGTCACTTAAATTTTCCATGCTTTTATTATAAATGGTTGGACCACTCCTACAAGTAACATTTCAAGCTAAATAGAACTTAGAATTCGTGAGATGAAGTTTTAAAGAAGAACATTGAAATCCAGCTTAGTGATGAAAGCTTTGTCAAAAACCTATAGAATAGTAATTGATGGTGAACAAACAATCAGCTTATTTAATCCTACTCTTTTGAAAATATTTTAAAATTGTATTTAATTCACTGCACTCATTACAAATAAAAGGCAGTGTTCTTTCAAGCTTAAAATAACTCTTGTACAATCATGATGCATTACTGGAAGAGGTGGAAAAAATGAAAGAAGAAAAACATTTCCCTTTAAGATCTGAAATCCCATATGCTACAATAGAGAGATGGTACAGAAGATTCTGTATTTTGAACCATAGCAGGTTGTCCATACACCTAATGATAAAGTGGATATTTTTCCATTAAAATGATGAATAAATGTTTAGAGCTCCTTAAGGATTTTGATAAATTAATATATTGTTTACCTCTGTAAATGTATTAAACTGATTTCTCCAAAGGGTTCCATATATTTTTCTGACTTAATTTTGCATAAGAATTACTCGTAGAAAGATCCATAAAATATTCCTTAAAATAATAAGCAATTTAGTAAAAAAAAAACCCTACTGTTACGGTTATAAGAATATTTTAGTGCCTTTACCATTTTTCTAAAAGACATTAAGGGTAGAGTCTCCTTTGACCTTGGGGATCAGCTGCGCCAGAGGAAGAGAGTTGCTAATCTCCAGCTCCTAACCCTGAATGTCCCTCTGGATGGGCACCTGGCGCTTTCTTTCCCAGCTAGACTGTGTATAGTAAACAGATCTCCCTGAAGATGATCTTGAAAGCGACAAGGCCTCAAATTATAAAGTGATATGTGATCACAATCACCTTGAACTGGGTTTGGAAGCCTACTGGCAAGCAATGCATCTCTTGTAGAATAGATGTTACTCTGCTGAACTACCTCATGCTGGTCAGCAAGCAGGCTCCCATATTCTGTATCAGCTTCCAAGTCAACTTGAAGGGCAGCACCATATAAAGTGAATTACAGTGATATAACTGATAAATTGAAAGGTCCACCATTTATGCCCTGGACCAAGAAAAGCGTAATGAAGCTCTTCTGGCTGTGCTCCTACCTGCTATTCCAGCAATGGATGAAAGTCAAGGAAAGTCCCCTGACTGAACAATAGTGCCTTCAGAAGAAATGCTACCTCATCAAGAGCTCTCGATATAACTCCAGCTTGCTGGGATTCAGCAATATAGGCAGTTCTCAACTTGTGATCACAATTGAGCCCAAAATTTATGTGGCTAAGTGAGACAACTGTAAAGTGAATTTTGCCGCATTTTACAACCTTCCTTGTCATAGTTTTTAAGTGAATCACTGCAGTTCTTAAATTAGCAACACAGTTGTTAAGTCAACCTGGCTTCCCCATTGACTTTGCTTGTCAGAAGGTCACATGACCCCATGACACTGCAAATGTCATAAATATGAGTCAATTATAAAGTGTCTGAATTTTGATCATGTCACCATGGGGATGCTGCAATGGTTGTAAGTGTGGAAAATGGTCATAAGTCATTTTTTTCAATGCCGTTGTTACTTCAATCACTAAATGAACAATTGTAAGTTGAGGACTACCTATATACTATTTCACTCTATCTTAGTCCCTCACAGTCTCCAGTCTGTGTGACTAGCTTGGAGTTATTTATTTTTATTGCTTTATTTACAAGGGTTATAAGCCATTCTAATTCAAACTGACTATAAGTGGATTGTGATTTAAAGCTGGATACCATTAGCATATTGTTTGAACTGTACATATAGAAAACAATGAAACCATTGTAGGAACCTGCATCATCCAATTCTCTCTCAAAAGGATACCATAATTAATGGAGGCAGCTAAAAGTTCTATTGAGATAAGACATGTGCTAGCTCTATTGTGTCCCACTATGTCATCCACCTGAGTGACCAGCATATTCCCCATCCCACGTCCAGGCTGAAAAGGAACCAGATAATTTGCCTCATGCAGTATCTTCTCTAGTTAAGTTTACACATTACAACTTGAGGTACCTATACTAACGCCTCTTTGCCCTTAATGTGTACCAGCAAGTCCTGGAATCTTAAGATATTCCAGTCTAAAATGAATGCGGGAGTCCAAAGAATAAGAAAACTTTAAAATTTATTTTTCTCTACAAAAGTAGAAGTTACAATGTATTATGATGTTATATTTCTATTAATGCACTGTCTTTTCCTGAGAAATTACTTCCTATATATCGTAAAAATGCATTATGACTCACAGGTAGAATCTGGCCAAAATAGAATCTTTTAAAACGTTCTAGAAATCAAAGTCGCAAACATGTTTACAAAATTATTTGGCAACAAAACTGTTTTCAGAGTTATTTCTTAAAGCCAAAATAAAGAATATATATTGGTTATGAGTGTTTCATACATTTATTTATTAAAATTCTGCTTCCAATTTAATGTTCTTGAACTGAGCCTTCTACTGGTTAGCAAACAAAGTGATGTAAAATATTAAACTAATGAGCAAATAACATGTGAAATGTTTTATTTTAGAAGACAGTGCGATTTTCTTAAGAATTCCAGTTTTAAAAATCAAGAGGAGCTTTCTGGTATCTTACTGGGAACAGAGGAGCAGTGGAAAAGGAATTTCCTGAACTAATATTCACCTTTGGGAAGGAGTGAGTCATTGGACAATTGCTAGGAAAAGTCTTTTCTTCCATTATCCGGTATGGAATTATTTAGAATGAGAAATATTATCAGTGACATAAAATACAGCAATAACAGCATCTGCTAATAAAATCAAGCCAAATAATATAATGGCTATTAAAATATGTATTATATGCTGCAATAGGTGGGATTTTTTTTTTATAAAAAGTTCTCATACTAAAAAGACTTGGTGTGCAGGTCTGACATGCTAAATTGTAAAATCCACAACCAAAGGAATAAAGCTTCTCTTTGGATTTCCTACCCACTGGCAAATATTGGTGGGAATTTTTAGTAGTAAAACTGTGTCCATACGAAATAAAGCTAATCCCTGAATAAAGACAAGTATGATCAAAGAGAACTGAGACTTTTTTCATAGTTTTAATTCTCTTTGGCTAATGATCAATCTGATCTTCCCAAATCTGGCAATCTGGATATAATTAGAAGATAGTTGTGTATGACCTTGTCATCTCCTGATTGGATTACAATACAGCAATTTGCTCTATATGGAATCACCCTTGAAAACCACCTGAAAGCTTCAGCTGATCCAGAATGCTGCAGCCTGCATACTCACTGGCCAGTCTCAGTACTGTCATATTACATCACTCCTGCTGGAGCTTCACAGGTTGGAAATATATTTCTGGGTGCAATTCAAGTTGATGGCCTCTACTTTTAAAGCCCTATATGATCCAGAACCTGGAGATCTAAGAGACTTCTTGCCCAGTTGGCCAGACACCTACATCTACTAAGGGTCCCTAACTATCAGGAGCTGTGGCAGGAGGAGGCTCAACCTCAAATGTTCTTGATGGTTCTTTCAATTCATTTTATTAGTATGAGGAACCATAAAGTCCTGTGGCATTTTTTGACTGCACCTTCGCTCATAGCTTCTGCATCTCTGTCCAAAAAAGCTCTATGACAAAAATGCATTCATGATTTTTCCTTGCATATGAATGGAAGCAGTGACTGCACAATGAAGGATAAGATGTATATTCCTCACCTACTTCATAACCAAGATGAAAGAAGCAGCCCTCACAGACCATTTATAAGAATGTCACTGAAAAATAAGCACAGACATTAATGACTGAAAAGAAAAAGTTTATGGCTTCTTATTTTTTTCTGCCATCTCCTCCCTCCTCCCCCCAAAGTTGGATTTTCCTTCCAACACTCACAGGACTATAGTCTCTAACTTGTTTATATGTCCTTAGCATTTGTCAGGGAAGAAATACAATAATTATGTGTTTGGTTT